AGCGAGACACATAGCAATAGTTGGGTTTCTTTAGTCAAATTCAGAGAATGAATTGTAAGCAGCAGATGTGACATGGTAAGGATGGTGTAATCAGGCCATCAACCTTGGAGAAATAGTTTGAGGTGGTCAGTCCTTCAGCCTAGAGAAGAGTTAACTCCATGATCTGGAACAATTAAGATACATAACTATTGTACATGTCTGTTACTCATCAACCTGTTGGTATTATATTCCATTTTCATAGTTTTAACATGTTCTCCAGTTCGAGTCTTCGTTATTTGCTTAGTTTAGTTTTTGCTCAATTTTTTCTGTATTAACTATGTTCATTATAGTAGAAATAATAGTGACTTTTTCAATCTTACTTAAACTGAAAAACCATTCAAGGCAAAATTTTTATTCAATAACGGCCATGAATTGTACACTAATGTCTTTGTCTCTTCGGTGTCACAACCAGAAATTTCAATATTTATTAATCCCATTTATAGGTTATAACGGGAAAAAAATCATGGGTCAGGGTACAGCTTACTGTAGAATCTTGAATTTTAATTTTTTGTGTGTTAAATAAGTCTGAGGTTAGGTTAAGTAAGGTTGATCAGGAAGCAGGACAAGTGTTTCCTGACGCGGGTGTTACGATGACCCGCCGCTGGAGCTTCCGGTCATCTGACCGAGGTCTTCCGCTGCCATACCGGTCCATTCTTTTATCTGAGGTATGACTCTCTCCACCTCACTCCCTCCCTTCCATTCTCTCTTTCCACCACCCAACAAAAAAGGCAAATTGGCAACTTGCTCTCTCTCCATCCAGATACCTTTCTCTATGTCTCTTCGTTTTTGACACAGGGTTTACAAGATTAACTTAAGGCTTCCTAACTTTATTTACAAGTTAGGAGTTGTTACCTATATCAGCTAATTTCAAAGCTTTTTTATTGTTACGAAATTGAGTCAACTGTGTTCCAGCAATTTCATTTTATCAACTAACTTTATTTTGGTGATATCATTATGCTGTACGAACATGTTCCAGACTCGAATCAACTTGGGAATAAAAGATCTCAGATCAAGTGATGCTCTGGAGAAGGATACAGCCAGAGTGAAGTTGATGTTTGCTGCCCGTCTTGTTGTGTAGAAGCTCGCTCTTCTCGCTGTCCTCGGAGTGGGACCAAGTGTGATACTTTGACAATGTTGGCCTTGTATTAACAGTAAGGCCACCCACTTCCCTCCTGCTGAAATGACAGATCTATCCAGGATGGGTCCAGGAGAGAGACAAGGCGTCTCTATCCTTTTCTCTCTTGCTCTTGTTCTCTCTTTTCTTCCTTCCTCCCTCTCTACTTCCCACTTTCTCTCTCTCTCTCTCTCTCTCTCTCTCTCTCTCTCTCTCTCTCTCTCTCTCTCTCTCTCTCTCTCTCTCTCTCTCTCTCTCAAAATGCCACCCTTGACTGACTTTACCTTTTAACCCAGATATGTCAGTTTTGCCACGTGCGACATTAATCTAAGTGTCAGTGTTGCCAGACGCAGCAGTAACTCTTGTGCTTCCTCCCCACAGGACCGTCAACAGCGGTGTCTCCCACGTCCACGGATGGAGAGAGCCTCAGGAGATACCTGAAGGAGCAGGAACTGGAGGTGAGTGACTCTAAGAAAGTAGTGGGCAGGTGAGGTAGGAGAGAGAGACGAGGAGAGGTGCTGGCTAGCATATACTGAGGAGATAAGACAAGGATGTAGATTCGTGTACCAGATACGTGATAATCGCATGACAGGGACGACAACGGGGTTAACCTTGGAGATTCTGAGTGTCAATAATGTTTTAAAGAAAGAATTTGCTGCAGAGAATAAGTACTGAATTACATTACTAACAACAAAAAAATAGTCCGTTATGTGAGCGATAAAAAAAATGGACAATCAACAAGATACGTTTAATTAACAACCAAGTTGCTTACCAGCGATAATGTGAACAAGATATTTGTTTGTCATGCACTGGCAGACCCTCTCTACCATCCCACCCAGCTTAAGTACTGGCAGATCCTCTCTACCATCCCACCCAGCTTAAGTACTGGCAGACCCTCTCTACCATCCCACCCAGCTTAAGTACTGGCAGATCCTCTCTACCATCCCACCCAGCTTAAGTACTGGCAGACCCTCTCTACCATCCCACCCAGCTTAAGTACTGGCAGACCCTCTCTACCATCCCGCCCAGCTTAAGTACTGGCAGACCCTCTCTACCATCCCACCCAGCTTAAGTACTGGCAGACCCTCTCTACCATCCCAACCAGCTTAAGTACTGGCAGACCCTCTCTACCATCCCCCCCAGCTTAAGTACTGGCAGACCCTCTCTACCATCCCACCCAGCTTAAGTACTGGCAGACCCGCTCTCCCATCCCACCCAGCTTAAGTACTGGCAGAACCTCTCTCTCATATCACCCACCTTAAGTACTGGCAGACCCTCTCTCTCATCCCACCCAGCTTAAGTACTGGCAGACCCTCTCTCTCATCCCACCCAGCTTAAGTACTGGCAGACCCTCTCTCTCATCCCACCCAGCTTAAGTACTGGCAGACCCTCTCTCTCATCCCACCCAGCTTAAGTACTGGCAGACCCTCTCTCTCATCCCACCCAGCTTAAGTACTGGCAGACCCTCTCTACCATCCGACCCAGCTTAAGTACTGGCAGACCCTCCCTCCCATCCCACCCAGCTTAAGTACTGGCAGACCCTCTCTCCCATCCCACCCAGCTTAAGTACTGGCAGACCCTCTCTCCCATCCCACCCAGCTTAAGTACCGGCAGACCCTCTCTACCATCCCACCCAGATTAAGTACTGGCAGATCCTCTCTCCCATCCCACCCAGCTTAAGTACTGGCAGACCCTCTCTCCCATCCCACCCAGCTTAAGTACCGGCAGACCCTCTCTACCATCCCACCCAGATTAAGTACTGGCAGATCCTCTCTCCCATCCCACCCAGCTTAAGTACCGGCAGACCCTCTCTACCATCCCACCCAGCTTAAGTACTGGCAGACCCTCTCTCCCATCCCCCCCAGCTTAAGTACTGGCAGACCCTCTCTCCCATCCCACACAGCTTAAGTACCGGCAGACCCTCTCTACCATCCCACCCAGCTTAAGAACTGGCAGACCCTCTCTCCCATCCCACTCAGCTTAAGTACTGGCAGACTCTCTCTACCATCCCACACAGCTTAAGTACTGGCAGACCCTCTCTCCCATCCCACCCAGCTTAAGTACTAGCAGATCCTCTCTCCCATCCCACCCAGCTTAAGTACTGGCAGACCCTCTCTCCCATTCCACCCAGCTTAAGTACTGGCAGACCCTCTCTACCATCCCACCCAGCTTAAGTACTGGCAGACCCTCTCTCCCATCCCACCCAGCTTAAGTACTGGCAGACCCTCTCTCCCATCCCACCCAGCTTAAGTACTGGCAGACCCTCTCTCCCATCCCACCCAGCTTAAGTACTGGCAGACCCTCTCTCCCATCCCACCCAACTTAAGTACTGGCAGACCCTCTCTCCCATCCCACCCAGCTTAGGTACCGGCAGACCCTCTCTACCATCCCACCCAGCTTAAGTACTGGCAGACCCTCTCTCCCATCCCACCCAGCTTAAGTACCGGCAGACCCTCTCTACCATCCCACCCAGCTTAAGTACTGGCAGACCCTCTCTACCATCCCACCCAGCTTAAGTACTGGCAGACCCTCTCTCCCATCCCACCCTGCTTAAGTACCGGCAGATCCTCTCTCCCATTCCACCCAGCTTAAGTACTGGCAGACCCTCTCTCCCATCCCACCCAGCTTAAGTTCTGGCAGACCCTCTCTCCCATCCCACCCAGTTTAAGTACTGGCAGACCCTCTCTACCATCCCACCCTGCTTAAGTACTGGCAGACCCTCTCTACCATCCCACCCAGCTTAAGTACTGGCAGACCCTCTCTCCCATCCCACCCAGCTTAAGTACTGGCAGACCCTCTCTCCCATCCCACCCAGCTTAAGTACTGGCAGACCCTCTCTCCCATCCCACCCAGCTTAAGTTCTGGCAGACCCTCTCTCCCATCCCACCCAGCTTAACTTGTCTACAATGACAAGTAAAAATGTCTATACACGTATTGTGATATCAACTGTTTAATGTGGTCTTATTGTATATATATATATATATATATATATATATATATATATATATATATATATATATATATATAAAATATATATATATTATATATATATATATATATATATATTATATATATATATAATTATATATATATATTTTAATTATATATATATATATATATTATATAATATATTTTATATATATATATATATATATATATATATATTATATATATATATCTACATCTAATATATATATATATATATATATATATTATATATATATAATATATATATATGTATATATATATATATATATATATAATATATATATATATTATATATATATATATATATAGTAAATATATATATATATATATATATATATATATATATATATATATATATAATATATATATATATATATATATATATATATATATTTATATATATATATATATAATATAGGGAAGCTGTGATTTCGTGTATAGGGGAAGGAGGAATAACATCTTGAAGCAGTGAGGAAGAGCAGTTGTTAGTGGGGGGAAGTTCGTGAGGCAGTAGTAAAATGAAAGAGTGTAAGGCAGCTGGGATTGATGGGATAAAGATAGAAATGTTAAAAGCAGTTGGGGATATAGTTTTGGAGTGGTTGGTGCAATTATTTAATTAATGTATGGAAGAAGGTAAGGTACCTAGGGATTGGCAGAGAGCATGCATAGTTCCTCCGTATAAAGGCAAAGGGGACAAAAGAAAGTTCAAAAATTATAGGGGAATAAGTTTGTTGAGTATACCTGGTAAAGTGTATGGTAGAGTTATTATTGAAAAAATTATGAGTAAGACGGAGAATAGGATAGCAGATGAACAAGGAGGCTTTAGGAAAGGTAGGGGGTGTGTGGACCAGGTGTTTACAGTGAAACACGTAAGTGAACAGTATTTAGATAAGGCTAAAGAGGTCTTTGTGGCATTTATGGATTTGGAAAAGGCGTACGACAGGGTGGATAGGGGGGCAATGTGGCAGATGTTGCAGGTGTATGGTATAGGACGTAGGTTACTGAAAGCAGTGAAGAGAAAAAATTTTACGAGGATAGTGAGACTCAAGTTAAAGTATGTAGGAAAGAGGGAAATTATTTCCCAGTAAAAGTAGGCCTTAGACAAGGATGTGTGATGTCACCGTGGTTGTTTAATATATTTATAGATGGAGTTGTAAGAGAAGTAAATGGGTGGGTCTTGGCAAGAGGCGTGGAGTTCAAAGATAAAGAATCACACATAAAGTTGGAGTTGTCACAGTTGCTCTTTGCTGATGACACTGTGCTCTTGGGAGATTCTGAAGAGAAGTTGCAGAGATTTGTGGATGAATTTGGTAGGGTATGCAAAAGAAGAAAATTAAAAGTGAATACAGGAAAGAGTAAGGTTATGAGGATAACAAAAAGATTAGGTGATGAAAGATTGGATATCAGATTGGAGGGAGAGAGTATGGAGGAGGTGAATGTATTCAGATATTTGGGAGTGGACGTGTCAGTGGATGGGTCTATGAAAGATGAGGTGAATCATAGAATTGATGAGGGGAAAAGGGTGAGTGGTGCACTTAGGAGTCTGTGGAGACAAAGAACTTTGTCCTTGGAGGCAAAGAGGGAAATGTATGAGAGTATAGTTTTACCAACGCTCTTATATGGGTGTGAAGCATGGGTGATGAATGTTACAGCGAGAAGAAGGCTGGAGGCAGTGGAGATGTCATGTCTGAGGGCAATGTGTGGTGTGAATATAATGCAGAGAATTCGTAGTTTGGAAGTTAGGAGGAGGTGCAGGATTACCAAAACTGTTGTCCAGAGGGCTGAGGAAGGGTTGTTGAGGTGGTTCGTACATGTAGAGAGAATGGAGCCAAACAGAATGACTTCAAGAGTGTATCAGTCTGTAGTGGAAGGAAGGCGGGGTAGGGGTCGGCCTAGGAAAGGTTGGAGGGTGGGGGTAAAGGAGGTTTTGTGTGAGTGGGGCTTGGACTTCCAGCAGGCATGCGTGAGCGTGTTTGATAGGAGTGAATGGAGACAAATGGTTTTTAATACTTGACGTGCTGTTGGAGTGTGAGCAAAGTAACATTTATGAAGGGATTCAGGGAAACCGGCAGGCCGGACTTGAGTTCTGGAGATGGGAAGTACAGTGCCTGCACTCTGAAGGAGGGGTGTTAATGTTGCAGTTTAAAAACTGTAGTGTAAAGCACCCTTCTGGCAAGACAGTGATGGAGTGAATGATGGTGAAAGTTTTTCTTTTTCGGGCCACCCTGCCTTGGTGGGAATCGGCCGGTGTGATAATAAAAAAATAATATATATATATATATATATGTTATATATAATATATATATATATATATATATATATATATATATAATATATATATATATATATATATGTATAATATATTATATATATATATATATATATATATACATATATATATATATATATATATATATATATATATATATATATATATATATATATATATATATTATATACATATATATAT